CCCCCCCCCCCCCCCCCCCCCCCCCTCCCCTCCACAGAGCCAGAACACAACCGCACCGCAGCGCACAACGAACCGCAACTGCCGGAATGGATGGCCTGGTAAGCTATGCATACAAATTCAAAAAATTGCGCGCGCTTTATTGATCAGCTGGGGCGCACCAGCTTTTAACGGGCCGCGTTCCTGGATTTCGTCGTCCGTTAAATCTTGTCTTGCCGCTTCTGAGGGTTCGGCGTTGTACATTGATTTTTATTTTCGCATATTTTCATTTCTAGTGCTTCTGGGCTGTGAGGTGCGTCCAAGAGATATGTCGTCGAGGCACAGACTCAACGTGGACGATACGGCTGATCGGAAACGTGATCGACGAAGGAGGTACCATTTAGCGCTTGTTAGACGTGAAAACTTAGGGGATACGCCGCTGAGCTCGTAGTTTTGAAGTACGAGGCCCCTTCTGGGACACTTAAGTCCGGGGAAGTACCATCGGAGAAGTCCCGTATTTCTGCGATACGTTCTGGAGAGTACTTTCGAGCAGTTAACCGCTGCTGGGACGTTTACGTGAGGACAGGGCACCATCGGATAACTTGCGTTGCAAGGATATTTATAGTGAAGTAAGAAGATTGGAATTAGGTGTCATGTATAAGAAGGCATTTCACGATGCAGGCAGTCTGTGTTTCATCCCTTAGCTGTATACACACACACACACACACACACACCGAACAATGCATGTCTGGGAGGAGGACATTACTTTCCGAACAACCTGATATGAGAAGACAATGTCTTTCACGATGCAGTAAGTCTGTGTTTCATCCCTTAGCTGTATACACACTGACCGAGCAATGCATGTCTGGGAGGAGGACATTACTTTCCGAACAACCTAATATAAGAAGGCATTTCACGATGCAGCCAGTCTGTGTTTCATCCCTTAGTTGTATACACACTGACCGAACAGTTCATGTCTGGGAGAAGGACATTACTTTCCGAACAACCTGATATAAGAAGACATTTCACGATGCAGTCGCTGTGAGTTTCATCCGTTAGCTGTATACAAAGATGGAAGTATGCATGTCTGGGAGGACATTACTTTCCGAACAACCTGATATGAGAAGACATTTCACGATGCAGCCAGTCTGTGTGTTCATCCCTTAGCTGTATACACACTGATCGAACAGTGCATGTCTGGGAGAAGGACATTACTTTCCGAACAACCTGATATAAGAAGACATTTCACGACGCAGCCAGTCTGTGTTTCATCCCTTAGCTGTAAACAAAGACCGAACAATGCATGTCTGGAAGGATATAATCGAGCAGATTACTGTGTTATACCCCGGGATTATCATTTGGTAGTTTAATTTGCCAAGGTTTTTACGCTAGTTGTGATGGGCTGGGTAGCGTACCAGTCTGCAACGCCACAGTCATCGTCGTTGTCCCCTGACAAGGTCCAGTTGTGGTGCTGAATAGGAATGTATACGGCTTGATGGACCAAAAATCCCTGTTCATGTGATTATTTTTCAAAGAAATATTATCATATTTATCACATTTTTGGGGCGCTTATGTCTGGGAGGTTTGAGCAGGCATCTTACCAGCGAGTGGTTGTTGGCAGGCATGGTATAATGGCAAGTAGAGCTTTTCTTGTGCTGAAAATCGCGGT